TTGGAAATACTTCCATTGATTTCAGATATTCCAATGCTATCGAAAATGTGCGTTCCATATCGGATGATTGGTCAGTGGATAGTGTTGCTTCTACAATAAATCGAATTCGGAACAACTAAATAAAAATTGTTTGGTACCTATCCAATGAGCAATGCATTCAAACTTTGCTACTATCAGTCCTAGATACGTCAATAACGGCTGTTTGTAGTTTATGAACTTTTTTGAATATCTCAACTGTTGATAATTATACGTGAATTTTGTCTTACCTGTCTTGTCCTGTTCTTGAGATACCTCATTGCTATTTTCTGCAGCATTTTGGGGTATAATTGTTGTTGTTTCAGCTGATGTCTGTTTTTCTTTTTCGAATTGATCTATTATTGTTGTTAAATCTTTATTTAATATTACGAATAATTTTCGTATGTCATAAATATCAGTTGTATTGAAAATTAATTTTCTAATTAATGGTAAAACATCTTTCAATGATCCTTTGATAACTGAAAAATTTAATAAGATTTTAATCGATTGATTTGCTGCAATAGGATCATTTTCCGTTTGTATCGATAACTCGTTGATATAATTGGTCAATGGTTTTAAAGATTTAAACAAATTACTTGATCTTTTGTAAACATCTGATGAAAGATAATGTAATGGAATTTGTTCAACAAGTTGATTTGTCAAGCTAAGCATTTGATGAACAATAGTGGAATCATATTTTTGTACTGACTTGAGTAATATCAATAGCATGGATATTAACGATTGAACACCAAAAAACGAGAGTTGTTCAGCTTGAAATTGATGTAACCGTATTTGTTTAACTGAATTGTTGTTTGTTTGATTTTCATTTGATACTTTCTCCGAACTCGAAGAATCGATAAATGGTTGAGAAAATATAGAAGTAGTTGCATTTTTATCGTCCTTCAATTTTTCAACATAGGAATTTTTCAATTGTTGTTGTTTGTCAATGATCGATTGCATAGCATTTTGTAGATTTGTATTTGTTATTGCAATATGATCGAATACTTGTTGAATTATTCCTGCTATTTCTGTATTCAATTCATCTAGTCCAGATAATTTCGTTAGTAAAGATAGATCAGTTCGAATATGTTTGATCAATGTTTGTTTCGTAATTGGTAGTTCAATTGAACTTTTTTGATCAGAGTCATGATCATAAGATGAGATTGAACTTTTACTGATTGCATTGATGATATCTAATGGTAAAAATAAATGAACATCTTCTATTCGACCATTGGATAATATTTTATCGGAATGTTGATTATTTGTTGCAAGTAAATCAGGAATTTTGATATCAGTCAAAGAAAGCTGTTGACCCATGTTTAGATAAATGATGACTAATTGATCAAATATGTCAATAAAATGTTTTCAATGTTTCTAACAACAGTTCTAAAACATAGAAAAGTAAGCATTGTGTCAAATTTAGGAAGAAAAATCTTGTCCTCGCCCTACATACGAATCCCAGATTACAAGAGAACTACTCGGCGTGATGACTCGCAAGCATAGAAATCATAACCTGATAACGATATGAATATATCGCTGAATATATGAGCTTAACTGAGGGAATAATTAGGAATATGCACAGCCTTTTCGAGGGTTTTTTGGAAAATGGCTAATTAGAAAAATTTGAAATTTTCAGAGCAGATAGATCCTTTTAGCATAACGTTTAAAGACAATTTCAGGGTCCTAAAGTGTACTCAATAGAAAGATATTACTTAAGACGATACCATTTACATAGAAGAAGTTTTTCCCTCGTCAGAGTGTATGAAAGAAGTCAATGATGCTTGCTTTAAAGGTTAAATTTACATTATTTAGAATCAAGTAGAACACAGAGTTCAGAACTGAATTATTTTACGCTTAAAACATACTTTTGAGAAGAAAAAAAAATAATAAGCAAAGTTATGTTTTTTTTTTCTACAAATCAACTCAAGCGACGCCTTACTTTTTTTCTCGTTAATATGCACAACGAAATCAATATTATTCTGATGTACAGGTGGAGTATATTTTTTTCGGTTGACAGAACTGGAAGAAAAAACGAAAGAAAATAGCTCATAATTCGTGCACTCATTTTAACCAGTCAATTACAAAGACACGTGGCTTATGAAACTATTTGCAATCCAAGATAATCATCATTTAGTCGAAGAAAACGTTCTATAATCTTTATTTAGCTTGCTTCGAAAAAAATGAAGAAAATGAACACTCTGAGTATCAGATGTCCTTATTAACGAAAAGAATCAAATATATACGAGGTCTATAAGATATCGAATTCTCTATTTTCCTTTTACCAATAATTGAAAAAAATAACATAGAATCAAATAGAAACGAATTCAAATCTGAAACAATCAGCAAAATAATCGAGATAATCTTGAATTTTATAAATATTTTATATTTATTATTATTGTTTGATGCATTTTATTTTGAATACTATACATCGTTCTTTATCAGATTCAGTAAAAGACATACGATAGTGTAAAAATAAATTATATCAAATAAAAGATATATATTGTCAAGCAACTATTCCAAATAATTACTGACCAACTAATTTCTGTAGTTATATCATTTTCTTCTGAACAATGCAACTGAATCAGATTTTTTTTTCGACACAAATGTCAACATGTTGGGATGTAAGGGCACTAATGCCTAGTAATTGCATTTCTCCAGCGTTCATTCACAATATTGATAACGTACGAACTACTTGTGTTTTATATTCAATAAGATTTCATTATTGATTTACGATATTTTTTTCTTGCAAAAAAGAATCTAAGCAGATTATTCGTTCAATGTCTTTGTGTGGTAAATGACTATTAAGCAAACTTTACGAACGAACTATTACAATAAATAAATATTTGCTGCTTTATTTATCGTCTGTCTCAAATACATTACGATTGAATGATAACGTAAATTAGCAGAAGAGATAGACAGAACCAAAAGACCTCAATTCATAATAGCAATCAAAACTGGAGATGTTTATTTAGATTCATAATGATAGATACATACTTTTCTCCTTTTCTATGCGGTGACTCACTTACATAAGTTTTCACAAGGGTTAAAAACGCCTGTAAATATAAAGAAACAGAAAAAAAGGTCGCTTTATGCTTACAATAGTGATTCTCAAATATGAATGGAAAACGACTGTGTTTTTTTTTCTTTTTTTGTGTTTTTAGGCGTGAACGACAGTCTGTAACTAAACGGACACTTAGTGACAAGTAGAGCAAATGAAAGAGTTCTTCATGCAGGTTCATCCTTCGTCTACAGCCAGTTTCATCGAGAAATTTCTATAAGTCGAGCAGTGAAAAAAATGTGCACTTCACATTCAAGAAATATTTCTCTTTGTAATACAGTGTTGTGTCAATATGACACAGTGATCATTTAGATGAGTATGATATTCATCAAACCTTGAAAAGTGTGTCTTACATTAGAAAATCTAAAATTATATAGAGACGAAACTGCAACAAACCTTGCTTTTTTTAATAATATAAAACACATGTGATGGATATTATTATCATCCTGACCAGCTCAATTTAATAGAAAACGAGATGTATATAATGACGTTCTTATATGTAATTAAGAAATGATAGAAGATTTGTTTTTTCTTTGTATCGTTCCTTGATTGTTCTTCTGTTGTTTCTACGACACATTAGTAAGTAAGGTCGAAGAAAAATTATTCTTTTTTCTGTTCTTGTTTGCTTGTGTCTTTGATGTGTGTATTGGATGACTTCAAACAACCAGTACCATTAACTAGATGAGAAAAAGAAAATAGTGGGCGCTGTAGATGCTCAAAATGTTCTTTAGTTTTATATTTTCTATGGAAATGAACCTTAGAGATAATTGAGAATAAGTATCATTGATTTTGTCGTTGTTTTTTTTAGAGTAAATTGATAGAACGTAGTCCCAAAATCGCTTTACCAGTGTTCGGCATATCGCTACACTTTGATAGGATTCTAACAAGTGTTTCGTCACTCATTCTATTGTCTATTTTCATTTGTAGCATCGCGGAGATATTCCCGTCGTAGAGGATTGTCAGTTGTTCAGGATGTTTATTGAAATACTTGACATTAGATCAGACACATCGAAAATGATATGATTTTACATCAAAAAATGTTTTTTCTGATCAATCGAATTGTCTAAATCAAAAATGAGACAGCAAAAATTGAAAAACAATGAATTTTATATCGGGCATATTATCCACTGAAATAACTATGTTCTTAGAGAAAATATTTCTTCAGCAGAAACAACTTTTAAAACAATACAGTAGTTGAAAAACTTTCGAGCCGATTTAATCCGTTGGAAAGGTTTTAGTACTATGCTATTGTTCTGTGCTAACCGTAGAGTGTGAAATGTGGGTGATTGTGCAGGCAAGAGTTCTATCCTCACATTTTCACTCACATCCAAATGCACAATTTTGTTATCATTTGACTCAGCTCTTCAAGTTCTACAATTATCTATGTATTTAGTCATTTCAATAAACATTTTCAAGTTCATTCATGTTGTCATACTATACAACAATTTCAAAAATGATATAATAGCTAGGCGATTTTTTTTTGGGCTTCAAGTAAGATGTATTCTCGAATTTGCAATCATTCTTTGATTTCAAAGATGATTCTGCGTTGAACAGCTTTCGTAATCTATGACATTTAATTCGATCGATTATATATCAGTGTTTCAATTATCATAATTGTATCTGTACCAGTCGAATGTAACTGTCTAAACTTGTCTCATTTAATTCTTCTATCAATCAACTGTGTCGATCAGACGTTGAAACATATACATATGATCAATGAGATCTTGTAACTTTTCTCGTTTTGTCAATTCGATAAGGGCAACTTCTCAACATATAAACATATTTGATCCCTAGTTGAATGTTTCACAGTAAGCAAATCGGACGACTTGACGCATACTAATATCTAATCTATAGTGTCATCTGCGAACTAAGCATCATTTATTTTCGTATATAAATAAAACAGACTTTTCACACATAAAATATCAATTCATATTTCTGCATTTTCTTTTGACTGAATAGTTTCCTTCACATTTTCTCCGCGACGAATGCGATAGAGTCGACCGCTGAAGCAAGGTAACCAAAATACGAATTTTAGTAATAAAGTCAGAAGCGGAAAGTATAAACAGAGTAAACCAAGATTATAGAATGCTTTATGTACTCCCACTGCTATCCAACGGGGCAAAGCCATTGCAACGACATGTCCAATAGCAAGTAACATTGTGACAATACCAAGTTTTGATTGTATAAAACGCCATTCTCGCCAATTCAACAGATTACCTATTGCAGGAATACTTGCAATAGCTAGAATGGACATGCACAGTTGAGTTAAAATACCTAGCAGTGATGCCAATTCGCCTTTTGCAGTCATAAGACCACTCTCTACGACGAATCGTGTCTGATTGTGAACAGTCGAAATCATGATTTCAACAGGATGAAACCATGTTGCATAATAAGCTGGTGTCATAAGGATGAGTGTCATAATAGTATGAGCAAGAGCTAGAGCAAATGTCAATATACCGAGTTGTTTTCGTGTTAATAGCCATCGGTCTAGCCACATTGGAAATCGTTGTTCACGAGTTCCATAGGCTAATTGAAATATACATGCGAGGTTCGAAGGCATGTAGACAATGGCTAACATAGTGATGGCACTTACACATAAAGTTTTATTAGCTATATTTAAAAAAAGTTGATTCCATGAAGTCGTTTGTGTACTAACAAATTCCATACAGAGTGTATAAAGAAGCCAGATGGATAAAACGATAAGTGTGACAATGATTGGGATATGCCATTCAGAAAATAGAGATCGAGTATCATTTTCTAGATGACGTGCTGCTCGAAGGGAACCAACATCAAACGAACTGAAATTCATTTCGTGTGCGAGTGTTATTACTTTATCTTTGGCTGTTACGTGATCGCTTGCAACAAAAACATTGCGTGATTCTCCTGCTGTTCTACTTTGCATCGCAAACGACGAAATATTATTAAATGCTTTGACAACAAAAGCATTGGGTATTGCTGTCTGAAGTCGTTCTGCATTGGAGGAATCATTCAGATGCAGTTTTTTGCCAGTTTGATTCGATAGATCAATGAGAATTTTACCATTAAATAATAATGGCTCGTGTTCAAGATGTGATGCAAGAGATTCAATATAATGTTCCGGATGAATGGCAACGAAGATAATAGGCGAACGACGAATACATTCAACAATGGAAACTACTTCAAATTGTGTGCCGGTTCGCTTGTCTGGACAACGACTGCCCATTACTACAGTAAAGCCACATAAAAATAAACGATCGGCAAGTGCAAAACCCATGTTACCACAACCAACAATACCAATGCATTGATTACCATCCATTATTGCCAACTAAGTGAAATTTATTATCCTTTTCTTCGTACGAGCAGTCATATTGTGTAATTTAATATGCATATTTATACATTTCTTGTTCCGAAACCAGAGAACAGAAAGAGCAAAATGTCGAAATGTTAAGAAAGGAAAATGTCGAAAGAGAATATATTGCAAGTGAGAATGCGTGATGTAATTAGTGTGGGACGTGCAATGAGAAACTGTTTTATGACATAAAAAAAGCAATAAAAACCTTTAGAAATGAAAGAGATATTATAATCTTCACTGCTGATCATTTCTACGCAACAAAGAATAACGATAACATGAGTGGAACGATTCGAACTCAAATGTAAATGAATCTCAGTAGTTTTTTTTTTCATTTGAAACTAACACAATCCGAAAGATCCTCATAATATTGTGTTAAATCTGTTTTGAGTCATTCAATTTATATCAACTCGATTTTCGTCAGATTCGACAGCCATCATTCCTGTTATATGAAAAGTCAAATTCAATAATTATGAGTGTTCACACTTTATGTCTACAATCCCAAGCAATTGAGCACGATCACTTTTCTTATTCAATAATATCCTTGTCTATGCGAAATTCAGAGTTCCCCATCTAATCTGTTCACAAAATATTATTAATTGCTCAATTTCGGTTTGATGATTTCGACAAGAGAAAGGACCACATACTTCAATTTTAGCAAGTTTTCAGCCGTTTTTTCAAGTGAAATGAAGAGCGTGACAGCCAGCAGGTCATCCCTATCTTGTGAATAATGTCTAGTAACCCTCATCGGATGCACAGATTCCAAGATCAGAGGTGCATCATTGGACTCTATGTAAGCCAGATTTCAGCCAATCACCGGAAAGCTCGGTCATGTCATATTCTTTCATTATCAAAATTTGGGTATCCAACTAGAACAAATTTTAGAAAATATAATATTATTGCTATTTCTGTTTTGTCATAACTGAAAATTTTTAATTTTTATAAAAAAAAAAAACTATTGACAAGAAACGAGCACTATGCGAAATATAGTTATTATGTATTCCAGTTCATCGAAATTGCGTCACTTTTGGTAATTAATGGACGATTTTGTGAAAAAATATAAAAATGAAATATCATTTTATCAAATAAATGTTCCTGTTCTTTAATTTAGATCATTTCAACATCTCAATCACGTGTAAGTATTATTCAATAACAATAAATATTTTTTTTTATTGAAATTGTTTGCATATGTCAATAAAAGATAAGTGTTAATTTGTAATAAAAATATATTTTTCGTCTTTTATTGAGATACTTTGCACATCTCACTGACAGGTTCGTGTTAATTTGCAATAATAAATATTTTTCTTTTTTTCCTTCAACGAGGTCATTTGAATATCTCAACAAAATGTACGCATTAGTTTGTAATACTATCTTTTTTCTTTATTTAGATCTCTCTATAACCAGTTATAAATCGGGATAAAATGATCGGTTTTTTTGCATAATTTTGATAACAATATCTAAGTTTATTTCGTGCTCTTTGTTTAATAAAGGAACAATAAGAGTAGACCGTAGATTTTTATTACTGGCGTCAGACATGTAATGTCATATTATGGATAAAGGCATAGTAGGGAATAGGAAAGAGAACAAGTATAGGATGTTGATTTAAATACGACATTATCTAGCATTGAATATGATTAAATCTGACAACAACCAGTAATCGAATTCCTCTACCGGATTTCATCAGTTTTATTGAAAGCGTTGCTCCGAAACCTTGTTGTTTAGTTATCATGGATACATTTGATTAAAGAGGATGCTTAATGAATAATGTAATACGTACTTGTCGAGAATGATCATACTAGTTCCTATAAAGCATAATCTTCATTAGGGTCGAGATAGCGAGTAGACTGAATCATTATTTCAATTTATGTTTCAATAAAATTATCAAGTAATACAGTTGACTTCTACTGCAGTAGTCTGTAAAATTATAACGGCATAATCGTTTGAATTTCAAGGAGAAAATAAACTGTAATATGACATGACTTCTTACAGTAAGGTTCCGAATTTGGTAGTAGTTGATCAATCGTCTCAGGATATTGATCGAATCATACGATAAGATCTATACTTTCTAGCAATAATGTCAATTTAAATGAATCTGAAGACTACAATGCAATAATTTCACGACAAATATGTTGATCAATACTAGCAATTATTTTTGTTCTAACCTATTATACATTTCATTGTACACAATCATCAACGAAGTGGAATAGAAAGAATGTTTTCACCGACACTAATAACAATGACTGTTATTTGTCTCACATAGTGTTGACAATAATATGTGATTAGGAGTCATCAGTATTGACATATAAAGAAAAAGTACATTGATATTAGTGTTGTGCTTTTTCTCTAGATCGATCAATATAATATGCTATCATGAAATATTTGAACTCATCGAACAGAAATTTAGACATTTACTTAATTATACTCATACAAATCAATGAAGACAACACAAAATATGGTTGTGAATGACAAGAACTGAAGCACATACCAAAGATGATTTACGGATCACTTCGAAATACATTCAGCAAAAACTTCGATTTCTATTAGAGCAATATAATTATATTTGTTCAATAAATAAATATGAGAAAAATAAATCTAGGAAAAATAGCTTCACCTACAGAAAAAGTCTATTCAATTTTTTTTTTTAGCAAGCAAAGTCGTTACTTGTTTATACTAGTCCTTGTGTTCAGTTATTCAAATTCATCGTTTCTTGGTACTTTTAACGGTTAATTGATCTGCTCGGTTAATACATCTTTGAATAGCACTTTGAACAGTATGTATACGAGAATAATTTTGATTTTTCATTTTAAAACCATGCTTAAGACCAGTTTTATATTGATTGAGTGCTTTGGAATTCTTACTCATAGATTCATAACTTGTGCCGATATGAGTATAGATTTCAAAAAGTAATGCATGATTTAGTTTTGGACGATTCTTTTCAATTTCTAAAGCTTTTCGAAAATATTTGAGTGCCATAGAATGATCTTTGATTGACTTATAGACATATGCCATGCTTTGAAACATTTGTACAATTGTTGGATGATCGCTTGGCAATGATGTGGTACCAATTTCAATTGCTTTCTCATAATATTCTATAGCTAATGAATACTTGTGTTCACCAAAATGAACTGCACCAATATTATTATATGTTTTTAATAGATCAGGATGATTGGTAGCAAGTGATGCAAGATTAATATCGAGTGCTATATGATATGTTTTTAATGCTCTTTTATAGTAACCTTGAAGAAAATAAACATATCCAATATAATTATAAGATTGTCCTATGTGTGGATGATTAGTTGGTAATTGTTTTAATCGAATATCTAAAGATTTTTCAAGATTAATTAATGATTGTGAAAATAAATGCATATTTGCATATATCCATCCAATATTTGCATAACTTGTAGCAATATCAGCAAGATCTGTTGGTTTCGGATCGTTAATTTCAAGTCGCATTTGTAATGCTTCTTTATTATATTTCAATGCTTCTAGATATTTTTTCTTATTAGCAAATATCAATCCAATATTGTTTAATATTGTACTTATGTGAGCAATATTTAATGAACGATTTTTCTTTGCATGTTTAAGTGATTTTTCAAAATAATCTAATGCTTCGTTATAGTAACTATGTTCATTATATAAAAGTCCAATATCGTTATAGATGGAAGAAATTTGATCATAATCAAACGAACGTAATTCTTCAAATAGAATACCAAAGATGTGTTTAGCTTTATCATAATTACCAATTTTCCATAGAAAATAACCTACTAATGTTAATGGTGATGCATAATCATTTTCACGTTTTAATAATTCATTAATTTGATTCATTTCTTTAGTTTGTTTTTCATCTATCAATCTGAATTTAACATACCATATTGAATCACGTTGTTCAATAGATTCATTTTGAAAAATAGTACCTGGTGAGAAGAGAATTTCACTTTGATCATTATCTTTATTAATTTCAGCAAATGGTTTGGCAGATTTTGTAACCGAACGATTTACGACTATTTCAAAAACAATTGATTCAATAAATGAATTTCGTTCACCATTTTTAGCACATGTAATAGCTGTTTGAAAATTAGTTGTTGTTAAAAAAAATGTATTTATCGAAATTAATTTATTAATATTGATTTTAATTTTATTTAATTCTTCACTACTAATACCTTGTCCACGATAAAATGTCCATTGTTTTTGTTCGTTTGATAATTGTTCAATATAATTTAAATGAAGATTTTCTAATTGATGATGTATATCAGCTAGAAAAAATCTGAATTTAAATAATGTAACAATATCTTCTGAACGAAATGCTTTATTTAATAGACGATAAATAAAACAATCACGTTTATACCATGATATAACATCAGTTGACTTATAATTTTGACGAAAATCTTCAATTGATTTTTGTTCTAATTCATTATCAATATAATCAAGTTCACATTTACTTAATAAATGTTTTTTTATCGAATTAGATTGAGGTGTACGAATAACTGTTTCAATTAATAATGGAAACCAATTAACAGGCGAATTGTTTAGATTGAAATTATTTATCGATTCTTCCGATGTTACGACACTTGTCGAACATAAATTCTGAGATGATACTTGATAATCTTCTTTTAACTTTGTCATCAATGAACTATTATCAATAAAAACGCCACTAACTTTTGCATAGGTTTGTATAGATGATTCACGAATCGTACGACGACGACAATATATATAGATATGTTCGAGTTGAGAATGATCATGAATACGAGGAATAACAGTTTTTGATAGTGTATCCGAAATAATTAAAAAAATTTTTTCTGATGTAACAGAAAGTACATAATTGATACATTGTTCGATATTATGAAATAATTTTAAGTAATTAATAATACAACGTAATTGGCATTGAAAATCATTTTGATTTCTCTTTTCATCAAGCCAAACAAGTGAAAAATCTTCATAATTAGGGTCATCATCTGTAAACGATATTTTTCGTGATCCACGTCTTGTTTTCTTCTTAGTAACATGCATCGATGATGATGAGGATGCGCAGATACTCATAGACCTTGTCGAGTATACGTTTTTCTTTACAAAATCAAGTTTTTTTTTTGTTTTTAGTAAGTGTTCTGATCAAAAAAAAAACAAACGACTGAATGAATGTGTTGTTATAAGCTAAATAAGAAAAAACAAAATTAAAAAGCGTTTTATAGTTACAGACGAAGTGCCGAAACTCTCCTAAATTAAAAGATTAAAGAAAAGAATAAAAAAAAATAACAACGAAAGTAATCGACACCTAGATTGAATCTTGTCTTTTAGAGAACGAGATCAAAACATTAGATATGTGTGAAAGAACAACTACTTATTTATTTATTGTTGATCGTTTTTTTTTTGTTCTATTATCAACGAAGATATAAACAAATCTTAATTGTCTTTTGATTAATGAACGTTGCAACGTGTAACTCGATCTCCTACTTTTGATTTCTCTTTCACAACATAATTTTGCTTTTATGTCTTGCATAGAATAGTAAATGGATTTTTTTTCTTCAAATTTCGACAATACTACCTGTTGATTCTCGTAGCAGCTTTACAACGAATGTTTACATACTATTGGCAATACGCTATGAACAAGCAGGCATGTATAATAATCGAGCTCGTCATCAATCATTAAAACAAACTGGAAAAATTAATGCTTGATGAAAAACATTGAATCCATTGATAAGGTTGACAAAAAAGAACATGTACACTAAATGTTTCTAACAATTTCAAACTCGCTTGTGATATAAAAATATGACTAGATTTGAAATGTCAAGATGATGAATTCTTTTCTTTGTGCATATTATTCTATGTCATCTGTAAATTTCTTATTACTGTGCATATGCTATTCAAATGGAGGTTTCCTCATGAGAATGATTGCTTTTTTTTCTAATCGTGTGAAACTTAGTATTGTGGTTTGCAGCTCTCGATGGCTTTTTTTGTTCTTCAGTTTCCAACTTTTCATCGTTTTTATTTAAAAGAAAATATTCTGATATATGACTTTATGTCATAAATTTGTTTCGGCTTGGTTTCACTTTTTACTATGTGAATGTCTAGTTCTAATCTAGTCTCTTACAAAGTGCAAAATTAAAATTGAAAAAACTCTCGATTTTGAGATCAATGTGTGCTGTCATACTTTAAGATTTGAGCTTAAGGGGTGCCCCCCCCCCCCCCCAGAAAATCCAATTTTTCAGAGATAAGCCGAAATTGAAGTTTTATCATAGGAAGATGCAATGAAGTCTCCTCTTTCAGAATATCTATGGTTTATTGCAAAATGAATTGATTTTGACGAACTTATCGCCTAAAACTTGGCTTCTACTATCACATTTTTCGAGAAATTTTCATCGTGTTTTTTCAAGGTTTTTTGACCTTTTAGGCTCCTTTCTCTTTGCATCAGCATTTCGTAAGGTCTTTTTTTATACTAATCACTATGAGACTATTAAAACATAATATTAAGATCACATATTTATGGCCTGTCTTGAACGCTAATATATAAATCAAGTTATTTTCGGAAAAATCGCTTTCTAATACTTATTTTTCGTTTTTCTCAAAATTAGGTTTTTCGTCATGCAATTTACGCGGACAGGTTTTTCTCCATAACGACTCGACATGGAAGTGATAATTTTTTTTATTATATAGGAGACATGTAGGGCTAGGACTTAACAGGCTCCGATTTTTAAATTTGTCTTTTACTGAAATAAGATACATGGATATTTCATTTCTATGAGCACTTCGAATTCGAATATTTTTCGAAAAATGTTTTTTAAAAATCAAATAAAGGGAAATTCAAAAATCGGAGCCTGTTAAGTCCTAGCCCTAAGGGTACTCTACAACTTGAAAACCGTCCGAGCTTGTTAGCTCGTATCCTTATTGCAAAATCCTTGCCCGCGTAAAGGGTAATGAATTGACTAGAGCTTGTGCATTTCTTCGCGATTTTGGGGGAGATATTTTAACCGTAAGCTATTCTAGTCAAGACTAACATTCTCTGAAATTTTGGTTGAAATCGGATGAAAAATAGCAAAGTTCGTTTCTGAGGGGGGGGGGGGGTGCTTAAGCAATCAACATAATTTCAATCATATAAAATAATAACGTAACAGTAGTAATATAACAAAATTTTATTAGACGTTTCGACTTTGCTATGAAGTCATTATCAATAGACAAAAAAAAACATCTAATAAAATTTTGTTATCATTCTTTGTAGTCAAAATAGACATCGGAGAGTATACATATATGTCTAAAGTATGAATTTCATGATCAATATGATGGTTGATCCATTCATTATATTGTATAGGTATTTGTAAGTGTTTTTTTTCTTTCTCTCCCAAAATAATTCGATTTTTTTGTCGGATGCATTGAAATTTCAAAGTTAAAATGTTGAAAATAAGTTTCAATACTATTTCGATAATACTAAGCCTAGATTTCTTGAATGAGCTTCATTTTAAAGTCTGACTTAACTCAATTTATCTTCGAACACAATCACCAGAGTCTTCTTTATTCTTGTTCGAAGAGGATTCGGTGGAAATAAGTAAACCTATCTTTTCAATTGTGCCAATGCTTTATACTTTCCATAATAGCCCAAGTTTCATCGTTGTCAATTTCTTGATTTTCGACACTGATGTTTGTCTCATTCATGACTCAAGAGAATTTCATCAGATTCAAACAAAAGAAAAACGAAAGCGACTGGGAAAAAGAAGAAGCAGAACAGTGAGTTACTACTAGTGTGAGAAGAAAACTACTGCGCAAGTTTTGACATTTGTGAGAGTATAAATGACAGAGTAATGTCAATGAGAGATCATACTTACCTATCACAGGATCTTTCTTGATCAACAAGAAGGAAGCCCCTGATCGAGACTTGCACAGAGTTGACATCAGCGAGAGACACAGTCTTCTCGGGTGAATCATTTTTGCACAGTGGATCGAGCGTTCGCGCTTGATTCCGACATTAAAATCCAATGATAACATCTCATTGACTTAATTAACTGATCCGAACAATGTTCTTCATTGTTCACACTTTAGGGACTTGGCCAGAGTCATTATCAGCAATACTGTCCAGTTTGTTTAATTGTTTGTTGTTCTACTTGCATAAGTTCGCACACTATGTTTTTAGCATCTTGTGGTACAAAACTTCACGTATTCTTTCAATGAAGTAGTACTGATACGTCTACGATGCGATTGTATGTCTTGAAATGTAATTATTTTATCATTCAAAAATAACACTCAAGCAGCAAGTCGTAAAAGAGTAGATTATCTTCGCTGGTCGTTATTTCAATAGATCACATAATCTTTAATTCTCGTCGAAACGATCGCAGATCAGATCTATCTAGCTTCGATAAGGGAATTTCTTGCGTTCCAGAGTTTTAAATGTCCCTACCTAAAAAAGTCTATTTTACTGGAATTCAAATGAGAATAGACTAGAACCAACATGTTTTGAATTCTTAATTTATCTAGAAAATGACAATTATTATGTCGAAGAAAACTATCTTCAATAACAAAAAATACAAATGTTATTCAATTATAGTTTGTAAGCTCTGCAACTGCTGTAAAATAGTCGATGTATTGAGTTTTGATATTACTTAACATCGTCAAAATGACGCACGTAATCATGTTGTAAGTTATTGCTGCAATTTTTACCTGTGAGTTTATGAAGAACTCAATTTCAACTCATTTTTTTGCATTATTATTGACATAAGAATGAAATAAAAAAGCGCATTAAAGCAGAGAATGAATATGCTTTTGCCCGAAATACAAGTTCTTACGACGAAGGAAAAAAATAACTTTCATTTCATGTTTATTCAGTTATTTCGCTCCAACTCTTTCAGTCTATTTAGAAAGGTATTGTTTTGAATCACTTTATGTATCGTCAACTGATAGTTCTTATTTTTAAGCAGAACTATGGCAACAATGATTGAATCGGATCGATGTTCATTATGTGATGAGACTGCTGACATTTGCAACTGCAAACGATGTAGAGTATTACAGTATTTTTTGAACTCAACAACATGATATTTTCTTACCATAAGGTTTTTTAGTTGGAACTATGAAATTTGAATCATAGTACAATTGAAAAATTGAAAAAAATTGACTAGTATATAAGACTTCAAAGGGTTTTCAATATCAGTTGTATTCAAGTTCTGATAATTGTACTTAGACTAGAAAAATAACGTTCTATCCAAATGATAATCGCAATAAATCACGTATTTCTTCTGGGGTATTTGTTTCGCAATTATCAGAAAATGGCTTGAAAATTATTTAGAATAATAACTCAAATATATTTTTTGCATTTTTACACTTTAAAAACTGAAAGTTTTTCTTATTATTTCAGCATTATCAAATATTGCTCTTATTGATACTGAAACTAGATGGAAAGAAAATGGTCATACGATGGCTGGTGGCAATGGAAAAGGTGCTGGAATCAATCAACTAAATAGACCATTGGGTTTGTGTGTCGATGATGATCAAACTATTTATATTGCTGATTACTGGAATCATCGTATTATCCAACGGTCGACAAATAATCAAATTCATGCTCAACAGCTCAATTGTCCAACGGATGTAATTATTGATAAAGAAAATGATAGTTTAATCATATGTGATTCCAAAAACCGACGAGTGATTCGATGGAATCGTCAAGGTGACAGAAATTCAGAAACGATCATTTCAGATATTGATTGCTTCGGTCTGAAAATGGATAATAATGGATGTCTGTATATCACTGACTGCAAAAAGCATCAAGTTCGACGATATCGAATTGGTGAATTCAATGGCATAGTCATAGCAGGTGGCAATCGAGGCGGTAATAGTGCTGATCAGCTATATATGCCTCAATACATATGCATAGGCCTAGATCATACATTGTATGTGTCCGATAGTAACAATCATCGTGTGATGAAATGGACAGAAGGAGCTAAACGAGGTATTGTCGTAGCCGGTGGACATGGAAGTGGAAGTACTCTTACACAATTATCGTATCCTCGAGGAGTTGTTGTCGATCCTTCTGGCACTGTCTATATAGCGGACTCCGGTAACAATAGAATAATACGCTGGCCTCAAGAAGCTACACAAGGGAGTGTTGTTGTTGGTGAACACGGTCCAGGAGCACAATCAAATCAGCTTGATCAGCCGTCGGGTTTATCATTCGATCACGAAGGCAATCTGTACGTCACCGAAGAAAATAATCATCGAGTACAAAAATTTTATATCGATATACGTTCAATAAGATGATGGTTGATAATAAGGACATCATACAAGTAAAAATCTTTCTATTTTCACCATTATGTTAAGTTGTGTTGTCGAAAAACTTTCTCGAGAAAACAATGTGGGAATTGTTTTGAAATTCTGTGCCTTTTTTTCAACACTAAAACATATTCAATTGATAAAAGCTTTCAATTGTTTTCAATTTTAGAATTATAAAATAACTAATTCTCTTCGTTTCTACTAACGTCTGTGCAAAATTTGTGGAAGGCTCAATTCAATAAGACAGAAATATATCCATATTGCAGTCATTCAATATGTACCATATTGTGAGTTTGTGGGTGGGTGTTAAAGTAGAGAAGATCGACACCCACATCCACACTCTTATTTATTTATTAACGTATCTTTCCTCACGCGTACTATTAATAATTTGTCGTTTTACTTGTAGTTTTTTTTCCAGTTCCTCAGGATGAATGACTAGCGGAACAGACAAAATAATCTTGTCCAATACCGCTGTTTTTGGTATAATATGAGGGGCTTTGAGCAAAAAAGGAGACGGTAACATTTCAAATTCTTTGCAATTATTTTCCGATCGTCCCATTTAGTATTTTAATGGTGTTCTAACTTATGTTAATACGGTGTAGATCAGTTTTTAGAGTATCCACATCGAGATTGTATGTACCAGTCTTTGTAACTCGGTCATTCAGATTATGATTGATAATTTTTCAAGTCAGCCCATTGCAGAATATCTTGAGTTTGCTTGAATTTCGTTAAATTTTTCAAAATCCAAAGAATTCAAAATGTTAAATGAAAATTCAAGGAAAATTCACTCTGTTTGGAGCTCCTGACTTAGGATTTGATATATGTCAATCTTTGTAACTCCTTCAATGAAGCTGTGCCACTTTGTTTTGAGTCACCATATGAACGATTGACAGAACACTAACAGTTACTTATAATGGAAGATTGACCGAATAAATACAATTTTTTCATCTGTGCCATTTGTAAAAATAATTCATAGAGTTCCTATGAATTCTATGTTACTTGTATCACTGTGACTATAAGAGGTAGGAAACTCAAATTGTATAGTGGAGTATATCTAGATATCTCGTATATAAAAGGGTGGGTGTGGGTGTGGGTTAAGAAAGGACATGCACCCACACCCACCCATGCCCACCCCACACCTCACACCCAAAAGTAAAAAAAATCACTTTATCTAAACATATGTTGTCAGTATGGTGCTTAAAAAAAGGTCAGTAGTACTAGGGTTAACGAGATAAAATAAGAATCCAGACTTTTCATACGAACAGATAGCATCTTTTAATTGATATTTGCATTCAAATTCATCGATTCGAGCTAATTGAACAACATCATTTTGATAGTTAGCTCGACATTCATTTAACATTTGCCTTAAGTGAGTCACGAAATACACTCTTCAATTATTTATAATGAATAACACCTTCGAAGCACTAATCATTAAATACATGAGTCCAAACAAATACTGCCAAATCCTCTTGAACATCTTTCAGAGACTTTGGCGTTCTAAATAAATTATCCCTCAAAGTTTATTTCTCAACTTCTTCAATTCATTTTGCTAAAAGTCCAAAAATTGATTTTTGAGTTCGAACGATATGAAGATTATTTGTCGTTAACGACAGATGTTTATCTGTATCTCTAGCGAAATACATAATGAACATTGTTTGTATTCTCAAACCAAATCAAAGTAATATTAGATTGGCTCATCAATGGCATACTCAATTGTAATTATATAATGCTCCGCTTAGGATAAACTATGAAACGAAAGAGTATAGAACTATAACGTTGATTTTTTTAAAAATTTTCGTTGCAGTTCTTTATTTCTTCGTGTTACTTTCAATCATGTTTGACATTGCTTATGGAAATCATTTTTATCTGTTATTTATCAATTAATTAGTTACTTTTCTAACCATGTTGCACAAATTGAGTCGAGAGTTACTAACAAAATTTATCTTAATCCGATCAAAAAGAAAAGCAAAAAGCAAATATTAATTATCAATGACAGAATATTTCTTCGTATGATTTCATTTGATTCTTGAGGATCAAACAAAGGCTCTCACTTGTGTTACTCTTCAATCTTTCACTTACCTTTCAGATAAAACAAGAGCAACTTTCGTATCTTTTCGTTCGATGTCAGTGAATATAAATATTAAATATTCGTGTACTATTTGATATACTATCATAGACGAATGTAACCTTAAAACGAAATAAATCATCTGAAAATAACTGAACAATGAATGATACTTTCAAAACAAGTTTTTTTCGTTTTTATTGGTGAAAATTTCAATCTAACAATAATTGTAATAACTCGACCAATCACACTTGAATGTGAGAAGATCAACAGAATTTTCTTCACGACGATGATAATTTGATGGCGTAGAACTAAGATGACGTTCTGATGGTTATTGCAAATCCATTTTATGATCGAATTCAGTCATAGATTTTTGTTTTTTGATGTTAAGATCATTTTCACGTCATTTGAACGACAAAATTTGCATGAAAACAGAGATATAGCTCGTGTATTTGATGGATAATTGGAAAATAAACATTGGCACAAAAATTCGATGAATTTCACATTTATTTCAAACGTTGAAAAAAAAAGAATTTGGTCGTCATTAATTGACTTCTTCAATTTGTCTCTTTCTAATTTTGTTGAACTTAACAAATCAGTTATTTATTATACATCTCTTAACTAATCAGATAAGATGTTTTTATGCAAAATAATTTTCTTTTTTCTTTGAGTCCGATGTGATATGGATGGTTAATATTATAAAAAATGTTTCAAATTGAAACAAAAGCATCAAAATCTCAATTCATATGTCAGTTCCATAACGTTTTCTTGCTGCCAAGCATGATAAATAAATATGGGTTTCAATACGAGAAATAAATGATGTTTCGATTAGAAATCAATATTTCACTTATCTTAGACAAGATTGATGCATTCAGATATTTGTTCAAGAAGAAGAAACATCGTCATTAATGATTGGCTGAAGATGAACAAATCAACTTTCAGTTTATTATAAAAAAATAACCATGAGTTTAATATTGCTAGTTGAAGGAGAACATTGTTGTTTCTTTCAAGTTAATAATTTTAAAAAAAGCCTAAACACATCGGATCGAAAAATATCTAATTAAGTATCACTCCTGTTCAGATAAATCTTGAATCTGTCTATAATGAAATGTTTGTCGGCAACACATAGTCAAAGAGATGATTAATATTCTATAGAATGAAGAGAAAAATTTAGAAAATAACAGCTCTAAGATATTAATTGTTGTTTTGAAATTTAACGAGAACATCGATCACATTTTGGTCAGTTGTAAATTTAATACATGAGAATATTTATCACAGACAAAAGTCTGAGACACAACACGCATTGCGAATTGAGTCACTGTTCCAAAATAATTGAAATTAACTTTGAGATTAAATAAGCTTTTTAAATAAGAATTATTATTCTTACGCTTAATTGAAGCAACCGAACTGACTAAATCAACAGGGACTTTTCTCCTGTAACTCAAATTTAAAGACAACCGCTGATAGTACGAACAAAAGTACGACCTGAGTGGACGTCTAGACAAGTTTGTTTCTTTTTGCATTTTATTTTTGACAAAAAGCATCATATCTTTATCAATTGATCGGTTTTATCGAAAAAATCATTTATATCAAAGAAGAATTTTGATAACTACGAAAAAATCAATCATTTTTGAAGCGTTTTTTTTGGGGTACTGCATGAATTAGCATCATTTTCTTCTTTGAAAAAAAAGAAAGCCAGAGAAAACTTTGCAAGATTCGATTAGCTATTATTGATCTTTGTTTGATGCATATCTTCCGAACACCTCATGTTATAGGGCTCAGAATTTTAGCAAATAAAAGGACATAACCATTTTCTAATAAAACTTGATTAAAATCTTTTGAGGTTGAGGAATCCGAACCTTTACACATTCTCTCAAAATTGGAGCTAAGTTTTGTCAGACCTCGCAGCCTCAAAATTTGATGCTGTTAGTCAAATTTGATACTAAAAAAACCATGCTGTTTTCGCAAATTAAATCTTTTCTAAGCGAAAAAAATTGACTGAATTAGTATTATTCTCACGCACCTCAATTATTCACTTAATGTTTAGTAAATTACAAGTTAACAGGTAAAACTTAAATTTAACCTTAATGATTAGTCCGAAACCAATCGTCCATCTATAATTATTATTATTATTAATGATCAAGCAACCAGCCAATGCTTATGATAAAATCAATGTAAATCGTCTATCCTTTGCAAAAGTGTTTTTCACTATAGAGATAGTGACGTAGGTGGAGATATAGATGAATAGAAAAATATTTATGACGGATAGGCTGAGAGGATAAAGATTTATTAAGGAGTTAAATGAAGGGATTATATTAAAGAAATGTATTAAGGGATAGATATCGATTAAGTAGTTTGGTGAAGGGATTAGATTAAGGGACTGTATTAAGAGGATAGATATAGATTAAGGGATAAAGATAAGGACCTATATTTGTGGGAGTAGACGTATATAAAAGAAGGCAAGTATAGATGAATGAATTGGTAGAGGTTTAGTGGGATCGTATTGAAATCGGTATGAAGCCTTATTTTTACGAAACTTAAAAAAAGTTTCGATTCTGCTGAGACATTCAGAACTTTTCCTACGTTTCGTATGGTAACTGCGTTTGTGAATGCACCGTTTTTGGAATAACTTTTGATGGGAACATTATATAGACCAGCAGTTTTCATCATTCAAGAAAGTAAACTTGGGCCATCGACCTATTTTTGGAAAACAAATATAGTCCGTCTATATCAGAGATGTCCATCGCGGCTGAAAATCTGCCGCTGCCGCGCCGCGGCCTTAGAAAAAAAAAGCTGCCGCGCCGCGACGGTTTATAAAAACATGTTGCCGCGACGCTGCCGCACCGCGATGACTTATGAAAGAAACGCTGCCGCGATGAATTATAAAATAAACGTGCCGCCACCGCGCCGCTGCCGCGACGATTTT